CTTCAGAACCTTCTTACCATTCTTCCTTTGCACTTTCTTGTCACCTTCATTACTGCTCTACATTTTTGTTTCACTATCACACTGGTTCTGCCCTTCCTCATTTGTTTTTGTTGTCGTTTTTCTTTCCTTTTCTATATTTAGGACAGGGTCTACAGGGTCTCGCTACGTAGATCAGACTTGTAGTGATTCTCCTGTTGTCTATCCCAGTGCTGGGACTACCGGTGTGTCTCAGTCTCTGCCCAGTCTCAATCTCCATCTCAGTGCACCGCAGGGGTGGGGCTGGAACAGCATGCCAGGATCGAACCCTGGCCCTAAGCAGGCACTTCAGTCTGCTGAGCTATCTGACCGGCCCTCTGCCCTTCTCTGGAGCCATGCTGACTTGGGCAATGGTATACAGTGCAGTATTTGCTAAAAAGCACAAAAAGGCCTCACAGCAAGTGTGCACAGTTCTATCAGCAATCACAATCTTGACTAGAGGAAGCAATGATCACATGTCAGAGCAAAGATGGTTGTGTTCTTGTCAGTGTGGGGAAGGCTGTCACAGCTCTCTTCGTCTCCCTAAGCAAATTCTGATGAATCATTTGTTCTCAAACTGAGTTGTTTCTGAACAGAAGCAGGTGTGAACCATGGTAATACTGTATCTGTGAGAGCTCACAACTTGGATATTTGTAAGTTGAGGACTTACTATAACTGGTGTAGGGGAAATGCTAAATGTCAGATATCTCAAGTTCATGTTCCCCAAAGGAGAGGAATGAAGTCTAAGGATCAGCGGAGGTCAAGGGAAGGAAAATCCACCAGAGAAAATGAATGGGGAACAGGAATAGTTCTTGAGGGAAAGGAAGGATCTGGAATGGGCTGCCCAACCTCACTCCTTTTAATGACCTAACTCTTGTTAAAAGCCCCCGCTTCCCAACACAGCCACAGTGGTGATCCAGTTTCAACAGGAGTTCAGGGGGACAAACCATATTCAAACTAAAGCAATATGTAAATCCAGGGCTCAAAGTACAAGTATCCTAGGGAAAAAAAAAAAAAAAAAAAAAAAAAAAAAAGAGCTTCATCCCCCTTAGAATATAGCCTTGGATGTGAAATAGAGTTGCTTCACCATAGACTACTGGTCAAAGCCATCACAAGCCTCATATAGGTAAGGGGAGGACATAGGGATACCACCTCTCCATAGAAGGAGTCAAGGTCACATTTCAGAAGTGCAGTAGAATGTCTTAGTGTGCAGCCATCTTTGGGGAAAAAGACTTGCTACCCATTATTCATGGAAACAGGCATGACCCCAAATGTCCCATTGCTGTGGGCATTAGCCAACATCTACTCATTCATTCACTTCCTCATGAGTAATTCACTCACCTGTGTGTAACCAAGAAGGAAGCCACAGCCTCAGTGGTTCTTGAAGCTGTGGTCTGTGTTACCCCCATTCACGTTCTACAGTCAGGGAATGCCCAAACCTTGCCTGGATTTCCAGTCCCTCTTTCTTTCTGCTTGCTAAGTCAGAGTGGAGCTCTGCAAATAGACAGGAAGCTCAGTGACTGGGGAGGGGGCAGCTGACATTGCATACATACCTGTACAAGCAGCGTAAAACTCAGAGCTATCTATCCTGTATCATGACTAACAGCACCCGACCACACGCAGGTGCCCCACTGTGATTTCTCCCCCTTTCTGCCTGGCCAGCATCCATGCCACCTCCTCTTCCCCTTTCCTCACGCCTGTAGGAGGGTCCCTTCTTGGTTTAGCCTATTGGCAGACCGAGTATGCTCTCTGCTAATGTCTCAGGTGAGCACTTAGTGATGCTGGTCACTATGCCAAGCAAGGCTCAGGGTTTTCCATGACTGTGCCAATCTACCTCAGAGAATATACACATCTTACCAACCCTACTAACTGATTACTGGTTCTACAAATACTGGTAAGGCACCTTCTTGCACCCTGCATTGAGTACGTGAAGGACAGGATTATATTCTATGCCTCTCTGAATTATGTTGTTACTGCAGGTTTTATCTTATTGTTAGAAGACATTAAATGTTGTGCTGCTGTGGCTGCCACTATACCCATTGCCTTGACACAACTGGGTCACTCCATAATGGATTTTGTCATGTACTGTGAGTTCTATTCCCTCCATTTTCAGTCAGTCACATGGAAACCATGTGACTTTATGATTTTTGCAGTATGTACCAATCGTGTTTTATTAGCTTTGTATGTTTTTAAAATGACTCACTTTATCGGTTTTTTGTTTTTGTTTTTGTTTTTGATTTTTTGTATTTTTAGGGAAGTGTCTACAGGGTGTTCAGGATCTCACTACTAGATTGGACTCATAGTGATCCACCTGTGTACAGCCTCCCAAGGGCTGGGATTACAGCAGTGCACCCCCACAGCCAGTCTCAATTGCTGTCTCAGTGCACCCTGGGGTTGGGGCTGACACAGCAGGCCTGGCGATCCAATCACTAGCCCCTGCGCCTACTTGCAGGCACTTTAATCAGCTGAGCTATTTGACTGGCCCCTCTTTATCTTTAATGATATAAAATTTCTATAAATTTGAAATTTTATATCACTGAATATAGATGGAAAGAAAACTATAAGCCTTTGTCATAAATAGAAGGAAATGCTAAAATTAAGTTCAATTGTAAAGTTATCCTGTGAAATCATAGCTAACTACAGAAGTGAGCCTGTGTCCACTCAATATGGAGCCTCTTGGACATATGGTAAAGACAATCTAGGGCCACAATGAGTCACATTCCTTGGTGGAATCCAGACCATTAGAGAGGAAAGTACATTCTCCATGAGGAATATTGTGTAATTTTATGCCATCCCTATGTACCACCTACAACTGTCTTGGGTAGTACTAGTGACTTTCATTTAAATCCGTCAGTATAGTCAGGTTCTGCTGCAGTACCATACAGTTCATAAATTTCAGCAGCTCAAAACACAAAACTTATTTTGGCCATTGCTGGCAAGGTCCTGACTCATTATTGTGGTTCAGGGTCCTAGGCTGGTACAGTCATCACCATCCTTAATGTTTAGGGTTTCTGTGTCAGAAAGAAGGGTCAGAAGTTATAAGCATACCTTGGCTCTTAGCATACCCTCCCAGCCCAACAGCTCACCACTTCTGCTCCCTCTGGGTATGGGCACAGGGACTCACATGGTCAGTCCTGACTTTATCTGGGCAACAGGTACAATCCTAGCTTCTCCTGGAAAGAGAAACAGTGGTATATTTGTGAACTGCCACATTCACTCATATGTATCCCCAGCACTGAGAACACTTCCCCTGCAGAGCTGGGTCCATTTCACATCCTTCCACACCCAACAAGCCAGCCTCTCACTATTCCAAGACCATGACCAGGTTCCACACTTGCTCTGCTCCCCTGCATTGCAATATCCTCACCCTACCGCCTATGCTACTGACCCTTCAAGAATCTACCTGTTCCTGAGGCTTTGTCGGCCCCCTAAACTGAAAATGATATCTGTGTGTGTGTGTGTGTGTGCGTACTTGCATGTGTGCGTGTGTGTGTATGTGTGTGTGTGTGCGCACACGTCTACTCTCCATGGGTAATGTTATACATTGTCAGAGCCAGGAGGCATGGGTTCCGTCTAGGTCCGATAGGGATTCTCAACCTCAGCACTCCTGTCATTGCAAGCAGGAGATCTTTGTTGTGGGGGTTTGTCCCACAGATCACAGTAGGTTTAGCAGCATCCCTGACTTTTTGTATTAGATGCCAATGGCAACTCTTCCGCACAAACCTCCAACTATGACAACTAAGAACACCACAAGACATTACAAGTCACTTGAGAGGACAGTCAAATTTCTCTCAGTGGAAAACCATCATTTATACAGCATCCAAGAGAAGCTGAATACCATGTCCACTGTGACATTGTGAGTTAATGGCTGAAGGAGCTTGAGGAACCCAACCAAGCTCTTGCCTCTCTCTCTCCCTGTCAGTATGTCTGTCACCAGTGCATGGGGGTCAGGTTCAATGTGAAAGAAATTTGACAGACTTATTTTTTGAACCATTTTATATGCCTATTGAACACTTTCATAAAAATGTATGTACTTCCTTATTAGAAGAAAACAAAAAAAATTAAAAACTAAACAACATAGACTTTTTGGTTTATCATATTTTTTATTTTTTTTCTAGTGCTGGGAAATAAACTAAGGATCTTCACTCTGAATTACAGCCCCAATTCAAAAAAAAATTTTTAAACTGGAAATAAGTTCTGCCCAGTCACTAAATTGCCCAGGGCTCCAATTTAGTGACTCCTCCTGCCTCAGCCTCCCAGTGTGCTGAGATTATAGGCACACTCAGGTTGTTTTTTAACTTTTGATATAGATAAGAAGACAAGAAGTGTCTAATTTTATTGGCAATCTACTATAAGAAAAGGAGTAATATTAATCCATAGACAACAGGACAACTGACAATAGTAAGAGAGACATTAGAGAATGTTGAGGACTGAAAAACTGGAAGGGCCGGCAATATAGCTCAGCAGACTAAGCGCTTGCTTAGGTAAGTGCAAGGGCCAGGGTTCAATCACTGGCACCACGTGCAGTGCCTGTCCCGCTCCCAGGCGCACTGAGCAGCGATGGAGTCTGGGCGTGATGGCACACGCCTGTAATCCCAGCACTAGGGAGGCACAAATCAGGAGGATCACTATGAGTCCAATCTGCATAGTGAGATCCTGTGCAAAAAAAGAAAAAGAAAAACTGGACACTCTATGCCCCATGTGCAGGTTAGGAATTGTACCTGATTGTCAGGATGTTTGAAATGATATTGTCTTAATCGGTATTCTGTTGCTATAACTGAATACCACAGGCCAAGGAATTTATAGAGTAAAGATTTATTCTACTTCCTCTTCAGAAAGGCTAGGAAGTTCAGGATGAGCAGATATGGACTGGCATCCTTTGTGCTGAAGAGGACTCTGCTGAGTGAGAGGCAGCACGGGGCGTTACATGGCAAGAAGGACTGTCCTCTCTCGGGTCCCCCTCTTCTCAGAAAGCTGCTATGCCAGTGCTCACTTCGGCAGCACATACGCTAAAACTGGAATGATACAGAGAAGATTAGCGTGGCCCCTGTGCGAGGAGGCCACGCAAATTTGTGAGGCGTTCCATAGTTTTTTGAAGCTACTCATAAGTGAAATAAACCGAACCCACGTGTGTAAATATCACATTGTCTTTGTAGTGTAAAAACTCAAAAGAAGAGGTAAGAATTGAAAGGTATTACACAGTTAAATAGAAAGAGAATTGAAGGATTAAACAACAAAGAGAGAGAAAGGCAAAAAGTCAGGAAATATGGTACGGGCAAAACCATACATTTATATAAACAAGATGGATAAGGCAATATTCCTAAGAATCTCTATCAGGTTTTTGAAAATACTTAATGGGTAAAATTCTCACCCTAAGCCTATACGCTGATATGTGTGAACTAAGCAACTACATGGAGGACAGCAATGTGTAATACTAAAACTGTGTTTGAAATACCTGTCATTTTGGTCTTCTAAATGTGTACTGCTTCTAATGTCATATCAATTACTGCTATACTCTTTTTAAAGTAAATGTTTGTAAAAAAAAAAAAAAAAAAAAAAAGGTAATAAAAGAAAATGAGAGACAAGAAAAGTTGTAGGATTGTCCTGCTACAATGTTGTATTTGGTCTGATTTCTAAATTTCTGAGTAAAAATGTGTAATTGTTCTTTAACATTCTCTAGGGAATTAAATTTTAGAATATCCATGGTTGTTGGAAAATAGCAGTTTCATTTTATGACAGACAGTGATGTTAAGCTTAACTGTCTGTTACAAGGTAATAATATCATTAAGCTTCTCTTCTGGATGTTTAACAACTAAAGTTTGCAGGCCAAAAATTAGAGAGATAGATGGGCTAAAAGGATAGCTAATGTTTTGGCCCTAGCCCTTCAACATCAATGAGGACACAGGATATAAGAGAACCTTTGCTGTGACATTCTGTAACTAAGTGGTGCCCCAATTTTTCTGATCAAGGAGATTATGGGGACACAGAGGAAAGTGATTGACGATGTTTAGTGTGCCTAAAGAGAGTCACCTAGAGGGAAAAAATTCTCTCAGGCCTTCACAGAGAGCAAATTGGTCAAGAAGGGGCCATGACTCATCCACATGGCTGATGCTGACAAAACATCTGCAAAGTGCTATACATGGTTCCAGGGTAAGTCCTGAGGGGATTTAACTGACTTTGTCAGATAGCAAAAGTTACAATTTTAGTTATATAGATTTTGCTTTAACTTGGTCTTAACCATCCAGCAGAAAAGCATAACCACAAGGTATAAAAAGTAGAGTTATATTAATATGCTGAGCTGTAAAATGCTCAAGTCAACAGCTTTGAACAATTGCCAGCTGTGCTGATAGCTCACTACCATTATGGACTATTGGACTATATTGGATTATTTTGCTGAATTCAAGTACCTACAATCTTTGGACTGGCATCAAGTATGAAAAGGTCCTTTAAAGACTTCTCCAAATACAGGCATCTCTAACTGCAATGGAACACCCATCTCTGACAAAAA